ATAGAGCGTTGAACGCGCGACAAAACGTAAAGGTGTGAACCAAGCCTAAGGCCTTGTCCACACCTAGGCGTTTTTGAGCAGTTGGAAAAGCGATTTTAAATGCCCAACACAATAAATCCCATGATTTTTAATGGCCCTTGTTCACGCCGGGGTAGCAAAACGCCAAAAACCCAAAAAGGTTCTTTGGGCAGGTAACAGCACCTTTTTGCCCCATAAACTTCAATGGAAAACACGCAGCTTTTGTAAGTGCGTTTGTCCATTGCCTGCAATGTTACATAAGCTGCCAGCCAAAATGTGCGTCTTCATGTACGTGCACTCAAACACGCATAAATGTGCAAATAACCGCACGCTAAACACGCACGTACAAACGCGCCAAAATGATGCTTCCTAGGTGTGAACCCAGCCTTGGACTGGATTAATTTAATTCCGTGTGCAATGTCATAGATTTTTATCTGCATTTGAAACAATCATGCATTTTAATGCGTTGCTATCAATAGGCCCTATAGCATGCTTTGATGCATCAGAAAAGGACACCATATTTCAACACATCGCACAGATGTGAACTAGCACTTTTTAAACTAGTGGATATCTGTAGGTATGCTTTGATGTGCATTAAAATGCGTAGGTGAGAATAAGCACTAAATATTCCTTTTTTTTTTTTCACTGTTCCTCCTGCTGAATCCAAAAGCAGCAACATAATGCAAAGTTCCAAATAGTTATGCTATCAGTATAAATGCAGAACTGTGCACATACAGTGGGGGGAATTTATCAAAACTGGAGCAGACAAAATCTGGAGCAGATTTGCACTGCAGCCAATCAGCTTCTATCTCTCATTTTCAAATCTTACCTGGGCAAACTGAATAGAGATGCTCCAGAATCTGTTTGTTCCAGTTTTGATAAATTCCCCCCAGTATATCAATACAATACAAAAAAATAAGTCAGGTTTATTGTTTCACCTTGTTTTCCGTGAATCTGCCTTGAATCTTTAGAAGAAAAATTATACTTCTTAGGTCCTCCTTCGTTATGCTTTCGGAAAGTTCAAAAAGCATTCTCCTGTAGTTATGAGAGAAAAGGCAAACAACATAGTTAAATATAGACTAATTGATTTCACGATAATCACGTCTTTGCATAGCTTCTCTCCTCAGTTTGTTCAGTTAAGATTTGAAAATGAAAGAGGGAAGCTGATTGGTTGCCATGCACAGATGCTCCAGTTTTTGTCTGCTCCAGTTTTGATCCCAATATCAATGAGATTATCAGCAGACGAATAACATACAAGTTTTCCAATGTCGAAGACAATCCCCTACTTTACATTTCAATCCCCTTAACAAAGTTGCCCAACCTCCTTAACTACTGAACACTGAAAAATGGCCTGGCCAGGTATGGGATCTAAACACCTGGTCTTCAAGCAGTTAAAGCACTCAAAACATTTAGGGACATACAGTATCAGGCCTCAATGTGAATCCCCTTAAATCTGAACCTTTAATTATAAATCTGCCAGACAGTATAATATCCCAGCTCAAAAACTATTTTCCTTCTCATAGCACAATTAAGCCCTCCCCTATCTAGGCAATAAGTATATTCCATTATTTATTTAAAAAAAAAAACTATAAAGGATTTGGATATATAGGCCATATACAATTTATTCTGGATTGAAAGGATGAATTAAGTAAAAGCGATGCTACTTCCAAAATTGATCTATTATTTCCGTGACTTGCTCATCAATATACTCCAGAAGAAAATCAAAAGGTTCCAGTCCTAATTAATTAAATTAAATGTATATGGGGCTCTAGGGGATGTAGACTCTCACCTTATTGCCGGGGCAGCATAGCGGGCTGCTAGATGAAGTTGGCTAGTAATTGTATATACCAGGGCTCAAAATTTCCACTCGCCTGCTCGCATTTTGCGAGTAAAAATAAGGTGAGGGTGGAAATTTGGGTCTCCAAGTACTGGCTCGCAATCGGATGCAGACGGCAGAGCAGCTCCTGTCAGCTCCGGCTTCCTTCGGCCGGAACTCTGACAGTTCTGAGCTCCGGCCAAAGGAAAGAATGTCTGTGAGGAGGATCGATCCCTGCTAATCCGGGGGTGATAGTGAGGTCTGCTGCAGAACTCTCTAATCACTCACAGATAAACCAGGGATCGATCCTGCTCACAGCCTCCTCCCTGCAAAGACGTGAACAGGTGAGGGGGCTGGGGGGGAAGGGGTTGAGTGTATTATAATTTTGCGTGGGGGGTTAATAAGGG